CCGGGGGGGCTCACTACACACACACACACACACACACACACACACACACACACACACACACACACACACACACACACACACACACACAGGGCCATATTACAAAAAAAAAAAAATGCACCAACATGTTCTTGAATGTTGCTTTGCTTTCTAAAGGCGTGCGCTCTGTTGCACTTGGTTGAACCCTGTCCCCTTCAGTCCCGCTGCACATAAACAAAACAGGGTTTACGTGACCTACGCCGACGCGCAACCATCATAATCATTCACCGTTTTCAGTTAACCTTCCACTGCACGGCAGCGGTTACCGCACGACTTCCCGGTTGGCGAATGTGACCATTAACCCACTTTCTGCGCTCGCCTGGCGACAACGCGCAAACGCCAGAGAGGAGGACGGAGGAGTGAAAAAAAACACACCGAGATGAGGCGAAGCGTGGAGATTTTTCCATTGGCGATCCGAAGTGAACCTCAAGTGTTTTGACTGCGATTCTAAAAAGCGTATTACGTGTTTGCTTATCAGGAGGGGCAAGGAGAGTATTTCGGGTTACATCACCGTAAGAGAAGGGATTTTTTTTTTTCTCCCCCTCTTTTGCTGTCTTGTGACTGTCACAACAAAAGGCCCTGTGCTGCAGTTGACGCGCTTCCTGGTTGCAGTGTCACATGACACCCTCGTTTATCTTTATCTCTTAACTGTGGTCTTCCTAGTTGTTGCCTTGCCTCTCCCAGCACAAGCCGTTCACATACCTTTAAATTTAGCATACATTAACCACATGCAGATGCAAACGGCAGAATAAAGTCAGTATAGGGGGAGTACAGTATGCACATTTTTGGTCCAGGAAAAAGTTGTGGAGTCCTGTAATCACAGGTACATTAGTAGACATTGTACACAGAGGCACAGAGGTGGACTCCAGTTGTACTCCCCAGATTTTCCAATAAAGTAAATCTCATTTCTGTTGTTATTTGCCGCCGAGAGCCAACCTGCCAATCACCACCTTCTTCACGGTTTCTCTTGAGCCTGTGTTAGTGTCATCCTAGGCCTCTTCTGATGTTCTTCATGCAATGTATCTTTAATGCGTTTGCCCCCTTGAGACGTGCGTGGGTGTGTGCAATTGTTCCAATAAAGCGTGTGAACCCAATTTTTGGTTGTTGTGCAGTGGGGTTTTTTTTTTCCTTGCAGGGATCAAGTTCCATCCATTTCATTAGGCTCACGGCTGTCGTAAAATTACTAATTTTTCAAGATGCTAAAAAAAATAAAAAATAATCACTTGCCTAAGGTCAAGGAAAACTTCCACATGCACAATAGCATCTCCCACCAGACAAGCAAATGGCAAAAAAAAAGAATTTTTCCAAGTGCTCGATTTTCTTCCCTTTTGTCATGCCTTTTTTGTTGTTGTTCACTGTCACCAAAAAAAAACTAAAAAACAAAAACAGGTCATTGACTGCTGTCAACTTTCAACACACATATGTGGCCCTAGCCCAATCCAAAAATCCACTCCCCACCCCTTAAAAAAATGTGGGCAAATTTATTAGGTCTGCCAGGGTTGCGGATTTTCTTTTTTTTCCCCAATCACTTTAAAGTTCTCAAAGAAAAATTCTGAGGTCCTCAAGCGCCAGCAATATTTCCACAAAAACACACAAATGGACACACCACGGTCCATGGCTCAACACAGAAATAGCATGCCTGTCTCACACTCACAAGAGTCTTGGTTCAAATCTTGACTCAGGCCTTTCAGTGTGGAGTTTTCATGTCCTCCCTGACTTCCTCCCACATTCCAAAAATATGCATGTTGGGTTCATTTCAGACTCTGCATTTCCCATATGGGTGAATATGAATGCATATTCTACCGGGTTTAAGTCTAGAGAATTACTTCAACGCATATGATGTGGTGCAACGGATTTGCAAGTAAATATGAATGTGTTGTCTGTAGGTGTGAGCGAGAATGGTTGTTTGTTTATATGAAGCCTGCGATTGACGATGGCAACAAGTCCTGAACCAACAACAGGCCGCAGGGCTCACTGGATCTGAATCTGACGTCACGAGCCACCTGACGCAGGCGCCCGACTTGGGAGTCAAGCACGGGTCGGAAACGAGGAAAAAGGTTTACGATCTTCAAAATACAAAACATGTGTGGTTTATGCAACCAAGTACACAATTGTAAATCAGTACCGTTGAAGCATATTAATTCTAATACATATTTAAGTGTAAAATAAAAAGTTAAATGTTAAATTACAGAGTGACTTAAACGCGTAGGGTCGCGCGCTTGTGCTCTTACTTTGAAGGCAATAGTCTCCCCTTGACGTAGGCTTCCGGAAGGGAGGAGGAGGGCAATCCCTGCTTGTATTTTTCTCTGCAGACTGTCCACAGTCTCGAACAAAAACAAACTTGAACTACGTGGGATGCGTGTCAACTCTAAATCATTCGCTCGTCTCCCCGAGGATCAACGGATGGCGTCCAGTTGACAAGATTCTTCTTTTTTTTCCCCAACCTTTGTTTTGTTTCGGGGCTAAACGAGAACGAAGGGGGAGGGCTCTGGCGAGCTGAAAAAGAAAGAAAAATAACAACAAAAAACGCCCCTTTGGAAAATTAAAGTTGCGTGTCAGCCAGTGCGCACTTTTACGCTCAACGCTGGAACTTTAAGATGTTGTCTCGACGCGGCAATGTCGCTTTGACTTGCGTTTTCTTTGTTGCTGTCACCTCGTCAGGACGGTAAGCATGTGTTAAGCCCCACTCAAGAGCTTGACGAGCTTCGCCCCGATCACCAAAACAATAGACAAAAACCAGCATGGGGGCCAAACAAAGCAGTCCCGTGTATGACGGCAGGACCCGGGCTTATTCCAGCTCCGATCTGCCGTCCGGGAACACCGGCGGAGGGGAAAGGTTCGCCGGTTTCAGGTACACCAATGGACCCGAGGGCCCCCGGATCAGGTACACGGGCGGGGGTCCCACCAGCTCCGGCCTCAGCATACCGGCCGGGGGCAGGCCCGGCTCGCACGCTCTCAATCAAAGTCTGGACGGCACGGATGGCGAAGACGAGGGCCAGATGACCCCCGAGGGCCACAGGCTACTAATAGGGTCCCTACCGGCTCATCTGTCCCCCCGCCTGCTGACAGGTAAGCTCAAGATCAGATCGCTCGAGGGTCAAAGTTGATCATTGTGCAGAAGGTTATGAGTTCGATTTTTTTAACAGCCTTTCTGTGCATATTATCGGCGTACTCCATAGTAATCACATATTTAAAAAACGTCTGAGGTTAATTGAAAACTCTAAATTATCCATAAGTGTGAATGCATGCTTAATAGGGTTTAAATCGGGGACTGATTTGGATGCAAAAGCCGTGCCGATGCATTTACTACAAGCAAGCAAATACGGCTGCTTGTCGATATGCGCCCTACGATTGGCCGAGACCAGTGTACCTCCTGTCTCCCGTCCAAGTCAGTTGGGATGGGCTCAGGTGGGTTAGGCTTTGCGGCCCAGCAAAAGATGCAGATTTTTTTTCTGGCGATTGATTTTTTTAAAGTTAAAAACAAGACTTAGGTTCTTTAATGCCGAGAAACACGAGGAGCCATGCCATGACCCCAAAACGGAAAATAACTTCACTTTATTTCACACAGGGTTTTTATTTGCGGTCGCACATGACGCACGTGTCACATATTGCCCACACCCACCTGCTCTGGCTCTATCCATTGTTCTCTTCTGAAGAACACGTCACCTCCAATGTGGCCTAACTTTACCGTGCGTGTCCTATCAACGTTAATGCTAGCTTACCGTCTGCATATTTTAACAAGGCCTTACTTTGCTTTGCTTGTATTTTCCCAGCGGGACATATGGCACTTACAGTATAACAGCCGTCGCCGTTTGATTGCAGCCACAGGTGGCTGTTTTGTTTAAGAGTCTTCTCCCCCCCCCCCTCCCCTCCTCCCGCTTTAACCGTCTTGCAAAACCGGCCTGTTTTTCGCAGCGACCGCGAGAGGGAAGAGTGCATAATGTAGGTCAGCAGATAAGAGCTGCCTGCTAGTTACACATTTGCACGCACGCACACACACACACACACACACACACACACACACACGCTCGCGCACATACATACACTTCCTGGTGGGGTGTGTCCTAAAGGAGACAAAACAGAACTTACTCAAAACAGTGTCTCACCTCCCCCAATAGCATATACTGTAATTGAAACAAAGCTTTTACGGTGCATGCATGTCATTTCCTTATTATGACTTCTCCTGATACGACTCCCCGTGGTGATTTCCCCGACGAGGAAGTGTAATCATTAATGAGCAGCAGGTCTTCTGTCGCGTCCACGTGCTGTTCCTCTTTTTCTGGCCTTGCTCGCGGGACACATGGTGCACATATGATGCAGGGGAGGCCATTTCCCGATTTGGATTTTGTCAAACTCCGGCGAGTGGACGCTTGCCCGGTTAATCTGGCCCAGAAGCTGCTCCAAATCCACATATATGGGCTTCAAATTATGACTTGATTAAACACTAAACCCAGTCAGTCACATGCAGTGTGTTTCCAGAAGAATGTGTTGCGAGGTACATTATGACCTTGCACAATTGAAATGAAAAGAATGGCTTACAGATAACCGAGTCCAAAAGTCCATGGCATGCTGTGCGTACTAAAACGGTCACATGGTGTCTTTCCGGAAGGATGTGTTAGGTTGTGTACCTTTCACTTGGAGACCACATCTGGGTCCTCTTCATCTTGCTCTGTACAGGTTTCCACTGTCCCGTGTGCTCCAAGTTCATGGTGTCGGAGGAAATTGAGAAACATCTGCTCATGTGTTTCAGCAAATCGCGCCTCACCTACAACAGTAAGAGCGACACCATAATGCTTTTAGGAAGGGGGAAGCAATACATGTCATTCGAATGGAGGCACTCCTTAATAATGGACTTGATCAAAAACATACCGTTATGACATAATTAGAGATTGCAATGAATTTGACTGTTTTTGGCATCATTTTTTGCTTCAATTCAATGAGCATTGTGCTGCTCCTTGTGATGTGTGTACCTTGATCCCCTGGGGGCAGTAGAATACAAATACATGGATCTACATGGAACCAGTTAAAAGTCTCCGGTAAGCTATGATAATAGCTGTTCTCTGTAGAGGATAAAGAATACATGCCTGGGTGTATTGAAGTCTTGTATGTCTGTTTGGGGTTTTGTTTTGCTCAAAGCAAGTCAAAGCAAAGTCATACCTTGAAATACTTGTAAACTGGGTTAGCCCCTCGGGTCATCCGCTGAGAGATCATATAAAAATTACGATTGCTTCTCTTCAGTTATTCATGACCTCCACCATGCACAGTAGAAATCAATGCAGTATTGCATTTATCTCTCTCCTTAACCATGCAGATACTATGATCTCGATCCTTGGTTCGAGTTTAGATATATACAGTAGATGGCAGTGCCACCAGTAAGCCCGGGTTTTGATACGAGGGCCCATTGCCGCTAGAAAAAGCACGAAGCACGCTACATGCTTCAGATGACTTTTTTTTTTCTGTCATCCTAAAGGATGCTTCGATTGAAATTCTTTCACAAGTTACAAAGACCCAGGGTCCAGTAACTCATCTGACATTTGATACTATGTTTGGTTTGTGTATATATCTCTCTATTTTTTTTTCCCATCTCAGAGGACATCCTGTCCAGAGATTCTGGGGAATGTACCATCTGCTTAGAGGAGCTGGAGCAAGGCGACACCATTGCCAGACTCCCCTGCCTCTGTATCTACCATAAAGGGTAATTTATACACACACACACACACACACACACACACACAATACAGTGTACAGAGTTGGCACAATTGAACGCTCGAGCTCCCTGAACAGGTTTTCTATTGGGTTGAGATGAAGACTGACTAAGTCACATTTAAATGCTTCTTCTGAAGCCACTCCTTTTTTTTAATATATTCCGGTGAACAAATTCTTTGTATATTTTGAGTCACTGGTTTCATCCAAGATTTGACAGTACATGGCTCCATGACTGTGACTTGAGAATGCTTAAAAGTTCCTTTCATGTATTTTGGGGCTGCTCCTTCACCTTTGTGGTGATCATCTTCACTCCACGAGGAAAGGTGTGGAGCACCTGACTGAGGCCCAGAGTTTCCAACACCAAACCTCAGAACTGCGAGGCAGACGAGCAAGCTAACACGAGGGCATCATGCTGCCGAATACTTATTCCACCATATTGCCTTAAATGCAGAGTTCGGTCACACATTTCATAACTATCCTTCACTACTACTGTACTATTTAACGTTGGACCAACTTGTCTTCCAATAGCTGAAAGCTATGACACATAATTTAAAAAAAAATACTCTTATTTTCCTTGGCAAGCAAACATTGAGTCAGAATATTTATATTCCAAACCGCTTAACCCTTATGTACCGTTTAGTTCAAATTTGACTAGTTGTGACATTTGACAGGAATAGAAATACCCTCTTTTTTTTTTAACCCCGCGAGATGATGAAATACACTAAAAGGAAATCATTTAAAAATATTTTACAGATGCTTCAAAGTTTGTGTAAACTGAGGCTGTTCTGAGTCAAATTTGACTTGTGGCCACTAAAATGGATTTGGGCTTTTTTTTTTTTTTTTTTTTAAGGTATAAATGCAAACTCACTTTGCTTTAAAGTGGGATTAAGATAAGATAAGATAAGATAAGATAAGATAAGAAAACCTTTATTAGTCTCGCAATGGAGAAATTCCCAATACACAGAAGTATGACATATCTATTTCTCAATGTCAGGATATTCGTGACCTGAAACATACGATGTGTGCATGAGAACTGAAGAGTTGGAAACACTAAGTGAAGTATTATTTTGCAAATTTAACTTTTGTCTCTCTCTCTCTCTCTCTCTCTCTCTCTCTCTCTCTCTCTCTCTCTCTCTCTTTTTTTTTTTTTTAACCAGGTGTATAGACGAGTGGTTCGAAGTGAATCGCTCGTGTCCGGAACACCCCTCCAACTAGCAAAGAGTACACTGAATCAATCTACCGTACTCAACCTTAACACTGTATGTTCCGGTGTTGTAATTATGTTTAAGTGCTCATCAGGGATTGTAAAACATGATTTTGTAGCGGATTATTCGTGCAGCCTCGCAAGAGGGACGTCGATGGAAATTGGATGGATATTATGTTATTTTATTTTTGCTCGGGGAGTCATGGAATGTGCGGGGGGTGGGGATGGGGTGGGGGGGACTACTGATGGGAGTCCATTTGCGTCTCCAAAGTGAATGTTCATCGGGCCATGTGCTAGCTCGAGCCTTTCCCAAGTAACTGGGATGCGGTGGAAGGAACTGTGTTGCGATGGGAAAGTCACGTGACATTTCAATAGAGATTTTTCTTGTTGTTGTCGTTGCCTGTTCTGGACTGGCTGAACAATGTGAAGAAAAAAAAAAGAAAGAAACAGCCATACGGACTACAAGATGCCTATATCAGCTTTAAGGGATGATTAGCGTTGATGGCAGTAGTTTTTTTTCCCCCCCCAATATTCAAACAAACGTGTCATAGGCCAAATAGTCTTAACATGAAATAGCTCATGCTCGGCTATTCTGAACCACATCCATGCAATTATGTAGCATGTAGAAAGTGGAATTGACGATAGGCTCGGACATATCTTAAATGGTGATTTGTACACTCTTTGAAAAGGAGTGTCATAATATGCTGCTATGTCATAGACTGGAAAGTTTCCTATAACCATTGGATCTTTGTTCAGTGTCATTTCTATTTGTACTGTAATGAATTGCACAAGAGAATAAATGTTTTGTTATTGTGTCTCTTTACGGCATACGACGTGGCCTTGAAGCTAAACAATCCGTGTTATGTACTGTCAAATGAAAGTTTAGTTAAAAAAAAGAAAATCACCCAAAAAAAAGCCTCACTAATGAGGCTCATTTTCCTTCTCTCAGTGTCTAGGGACCTCAGAGGATGTACAGTATTCCCATTGTCATAAGTGTTGTGTCTGTTACTTCTCTATGCCTGACCAAAACAAAGGGGGAATGGTAAAGTTCTTTTTGACGTAGGATAATACTATAATAGGGAACACCAAAACTTGTTCCCATGCTTACAGATGCCATTGATCACATTCACATACTCATTAACTGCAAATCCACCAAATTTGATAAGACTTTGAAAAGGAGGTAAATCCACGGAAGGTTTGAGTAAGAACACTGCCAGACGGACAATAATTTTGTTTTAAATATCACTTCTAAACAGTGGGTGCACTTAAATATATGTTTACTGCTGTTTTGTGAACACTTGCACTGGACTTTGAGCAACAGTTAAAAAATAAACCCATTGTCCCCTTTTTAGATTGTGCTATTATGTCATTAACTTTTCTCTATACGTACACTGTTGGATTATCCTAGACTTAGGTTCACGTAACTCTTTATAACCAATATTCATTTAAAAAATGTGAAAAATAAGCACTTCTAATAGCTTATAGTTCCTTTTCTTATCCGAGTTTTCAATACTGTATTGTATCCCATTTTAATAATAGTGTATCAAAATACGCCTTTTTTGCTATTAAGAATAAAAAAACAGCATTTTTTAATTTTCTGTGCACAAAGCGTTGAATCAAAACATCAGATCACCGCGATGTGCTTCCGTCGCCTGCTGATTACGTCAGAAAACCTATCAGCAACGTTCTCTGCAAAAAGCGTCAGTCTGGAATTGCGAAAATACGCTTAATTTTGCACATTTAAACCATTCCTTCAGTGGTATAGCACTTTTTTTTACTACTACAACAAAGGTAAGTGTGTAATTTGTGAAGTATTTTAACAGTTGTTTGATTCGGTGTCTTAAACTGACATTCGTAATGCTAACCCAATACTGTAACTCATTAGCTATCGGGCTAACAGTTCCACACAATCTGTTTTCCGTTCCGGATAATTTTTGCTAATTTCAGAACGATTATATTAAATGACAAAAAATATGTTGCGCCCATCAGATATTGTTGTCGATTTCAGGAGCGGGGAGTGGAAAGCGACGTTTGAAAATGTCGTATATGCTACCGCATCTCCACAATGGCTGGCAGGTCGACCAAGCCATCCTGTCCGAGGAGGACCGAGTGCTCGTCATCCGCTTCGGACACGACTGGGACCCGACGTGTATGAAAATGGACGAGGTTCTGTACAGCATCGCCGAAAAGGTTCGTGGAGTGCTACTGGCGTCGGTTCGAGCGTATTCGTCAAAAACAACTTCAATAGCACAAACAAGCGCAATTGTAAACATACTGTGGAACGTCTCTAAAAAATGGACTTATTTCAGTCACGGCAGAAATATAGTGTGTCGTTGATTTGCAAGGACACCTGTGAATTAATTACAAAAAAAAAATCGAATGCATGATTTATCTCCTGTAACAAATAATCAATTTTGCTGCTCCAACAGGTGAAAAACTTTGCCGTCATCTACCTGGTGGACATCACAGAAGTGCCTGACTTCAACAAGATGTACGAGTTGTACGACCCCTGCACTGTCATGTTCTTTTTTAGGTAAATTGCTCAGAGTCCTTCATGTTATTTTGTTTAACTTTAGTCTGTCTCACAGTCAAATGTCCTCGCTCCTCTCAAGGAACAAGCACATCATGATTGATTTGGGCACCGGCAACAACAACAAGATCAACTGGACAATGGAGGACAAACAGGAGATGATAGACATTGTGGAGACGGTGTATCGAGGAGCAAGAAAAGGACGAGGCCTGGTGGTGTCACCCAAGGATTACTCCACAAAATACAGATATTGATTTTTTTTTTTTCGCGTTTGATTATCGTTTTTAACATCTGATATATTTTGTTTAGTTTCATAAAGTTTTTCCATTTATTTAAACCCAAACAATGTGTTTCTTGGTGCTCAACAATAAACAAGGCCTCATTTGTCATAATGGGAACATGTGTTGTTTTAAGCGCGCGCTTCATAATTATGTGTGGGGTTGCATAAGAATCCACGTTTTTACACCCAAAACATAAAGCGGCTCACATTTGTCACTTGCATTCCCTCCCCTAATCCATGCTATGTAATGAAATCTAACAAAGCAAAATCCCAAAACATTTTGCTAACGAAATGAAATAAAAACGAAAATGCTTACACAAACACTAACTGAAACTACATCTTGCCTGAATTAAACGAAATTATGAAGCATTTGTGGAAAAAAAACTGCTTTAAAAACTCAGTGCATTGTCACAAATATTCCACTAGATGACGCCAAAGTGGTACCAAGAAATGTTAACTGCTTGTGAAACATAAGCGAAAGGCATTTAGTGCAGAGTAATTTTGCGTATCTCGATAACCAGAATTACACGCTCTACATCATAAAACATTTAGTCAGTTAAAAAAAAACAAAAAAAAACGTACTATTGGAAATGTGTTTTAGTGGGCCTTCAGTCTTTGTGTGGACATCAGACTCGAAACCCTAAAGCCGGGGGTAATCCGTGATCTGTTTTCAACTGATAGGGGATCGCCACAGAGAGGGTTGCCGTCAAACTGAGAAGAGGCGCGCTCTAGGGGGAGACATGTTGGCATGCTTCTATAGTTGGATACTAAAGCCAACATGGAGGGAGGAAAGTGGAGTTGACAAAAAACATCACCACCTCCTTCCCCACCAAAGCATCCATCTAACAGCAGTGACACCTAATAATGCCTTTTATTTCCTCATGACATGCCTATGTTTACTTGTGCATGTAGACCAGAAGGACTTCTTTCCTGAAAGATAATTTTAAAGATTCGCTATGAAAATGGGGGTGCGTAGTAATATTGCATTACCAAATTGTTCCTGCTAATGTTGTCTGCCAAAAGAGGCAACTTCCATTTATCCTGCTTCAATATAGCTAACCAATCACCGCACCGCCATATCTCTTGGGCTGTTTGATCGAATCTTCATGTAAGAGGCACACACCAGGGAACGATCTCAAGCCCCATATATTGGTATGTTTGTTTTCACTCATTCCTTCAAAAGACAAAGCTGATTGGGAGACACATCGGAGAGATGACGAGTTCAAATCGAAGATTGTGAGGTGGGGAGGGGTGGGGGGGCTTCTCAGTGGCTTTTTGTTGCCTCTGGGTCGAAGGAGATTAAAAAGATGATGTTTTGAGGAGATAAAATGCTGAAGCAAACATCATTCTTTCCATTCTCAGTGACACACTTAGCAGTTGGCTTAATATGCCACCCGTCTGCCGTTCACTCGGGGTACTGTGACTAAACGGATTTGCGTTTCTGTCTTTCTCAACCGGGAGCCACTCTCCCACTCGGCATCACCAAGTGGGAAGTAACAAAGTATAAGTACGTTTTTACTCTACTTATGTAGATTTTTCGGGTGTTTGTACTTGAGTGTTTATTTTTCCGACAACTACTTAAGCCCGTTTCACAGTCTACATTTTTTAACTTTTATGCAACCCTACCAGAATTTTCAGGCCAAATTTGACCTGTTTTTACATTTGACAGCAATGAAAATATCCCACATCATTCTTTCACCCTAAAGAGGAGAGGCAGCAGCAAAACAGGCCACAATGTATGGAAATGAGTCGAATCAATACTTTTACCACTTTTTTTTCTTTTTCAAACAAGTATCCGTTGAACCAGGTGTGAGTACTTTTCCCCCTCTGGTTTATTTATCTCAAAGTGAAGTAGCAGTGTGCGGGGAGAGGTGTCACTATGATTTAAACACACACATGCTGAGTAAACACCACACCAGGCTTTCCTCGCGCGCAACCCCCATTTTCATCGGAGCCCAATTAGCACCTGCTTGCACCTCGCAGGCAGGCAGGCCGGCCGAGCCTCCTGCTGCACGGGAGGTGCAATACTGAGAATTGCTGCAGCTGAACTAACACAGTCACCGCTCTCTGACACACACACACACACACGCACACACACACGCTCAAATTGGGGCCGAACTCCATTTTGTTCCATTTCAAGCGCTGGCGCATGAAATCAGAATCACAGGCGAGCATTTGCAAAAATAGTTTGGTCTGTCAAGGCTAAATCCATGCAGCAACGTCTAAACGGCAGATTTAAAAAAATGATGTGCCAAAGATACAAAAGCAGTTTTAATATTGAAGAAAAATCATTAAAAGCAGACATGTTGGGGAACGGTGACTGGTGTCTACCGCCTTTGGCTGTTTTTGCACACTGTCCACCATCTTTTACCATAACGTAGGGCACTGACGTATTAGTTCCGTGACAAAAGACAAATTTACAAATCAAATCAATTTGTATCCCATGAAAAGCAAGTGCAAAGCCATTAATCCATTCCAGCCCTCCCCAAAAAAAAATACCATCATTTTGTGTTCCATATTTTTAATTAAATATAAAATAGCAATGCATTGCAAAATAGAAATTGATTTTTCATCATCATAAAATACACTTCATAAAAGAGAATTTCAAAACGGGGTAATAAAGTGCTTGCATTTTTGGGCTGCTGATGTGTCCCTACAGTCTTAGTATCGATGCTCTGCTCCTTGGAAGTGATTTCATTTTGTAACGATGCTTTTGACCGTTTAGTAGGTTCCATTAACACCTACAAATGTAGCGGCAACCTACGTTTGGAATCACTTCGAGTGGCGGCGCATCCGAAGCTCGCTTGCAAACAAAAACGAGCAACACAACAAGGCCCACGAGTAGCCATGCGTCACACACTCGTCGCCTCCTGGATACGAATAGTAACTCCAGCTCCATCACACCATTATATCCCGAGCCATCTTCATCCCTCTCCTCCTCTACCTCGAAACGCATCCCTGTCCTCTCGTCACAGGCGCTGCCCCTCACCTGCCTGCCCACGCTGGTACGACCCCCCCGCCCCCCAACCCAGACTCCCACCACCACTAACTGCATTTTGCCCTTACAAGGCGAGAGCACAGGCAGAGCGTACTAAGTGCGTGAGCTCCGCGGGGGTGCGGGGAGACCATGGAGACGCTGACGACCCGCCGAGATAGGAGGGGGATGGACGGATGGAGAGCGGATGCAAGCAAATGGGGTGGGGTGAGGGGGACAGGTAGTTCTATCAATGACTCCAAAGCGGAGGACAGAAATAGGCACAGAGTGGAGGGGAAGGTGATGGAGTGGGGGGCTGCAGGTCAATGTGATGCTCTCTGTGACAAGGCTACATTTACCTTCCGAGTCAGCCACTAAAAATAAACGGTTGCTAAGCGGGAATTTTGTTGAATGGTGTGCCGAGTCTGCGACTCCGCAGCTGCCAGTGTGGGTTATAAGTTTTGTTTTTGTAATTCTCACCCATTCTATATTATTTGCTCTCCGGTGAATATATTCTAGAATTTGTTTCTTTCACAAAAATATAATATTTTTTTTTCTATTATTTCTGAATTATATCATTAATAGAATTGATGCGCAGATGAAATTAAAGTTAATTTATAAAGAATGTAGCCTCATTTCCCCGCACATATGAAAGGTGCCCATGTCAAATGATTCCGGCGTGTTTATGCAGAACTTTGTGCAAACAGGGTCCTCGAATTAGCAAATTGCAGAGCATTATTATTGCATAATTATGCATGCGCTGCGCTGTGACTATATACAGTATCTCTGGAGGCAAATCTCCCCGCTAATTTCATGCAAATGTAACTCCCTTCTGCAGTATCCTCAGTCGCTTACTTTGGTCTCCTTACACTGCAACGCACCTGCTATAATAAAATACTTCATTACTCTACTTGAGTAGATTTTTCAGGTATGTGTACTTGCATTGTCTGGCGCCAGGCTAAAAAGCACCATCTTTTACTTAAGTTCACAAATAAAATTAATACTTCGATTTTTTTTTGTTTGTTTGATTCTACTTCCATAAAGTGCAATGACTTTTGACACACATAGTCACATGACCATCATGTGTACAGATTGGATTTCATGGCATGGTGCGACCTGAACGGATGGATTTGTTCACCACAGTCGGTCAAATGGCTTTGGCTTAAAGGCCTGGGTCAATGTTTTTTCACACATACACAAGAAAAAAAAAACCCTTTAAACTGCCCCCCTCACCCCACCACCACCACCACACACACACACCTCTCTGTGTCTGCCATATAAATGCGCTTTAAAGACAACATCTGGTCCAGGGCGTGTGGAGTCACAAGTGCATCCAAAGCCTCCTGGAGTCTCGAGTTGAGAGTCAGAATCGGGCCATCCATTTCTGCCTTAGCCTGATCATGGTCAACAAAAGATCCTAAGAGTGTGCAGTCCAGGGGTGTCAAACTCATTTTTGTCGCGAGCCACATTCAGTGACCGTTTCCCTTGGAGGGCTGTTATGACTGCGAAATGCATATGAAGAAGTCATCTACTGTAATGAGGGGTTTTGGTCGCAAGAAAATGCTTACAATATCACGCTTATTGAATACATATGAGAAGCTGAAATTTTGGGGCAGATTTTTGCAATCATTGTAGAAGTTAACGTTTGATTTGCTTTCGCAGGCTATATAAAATGATGTGACGGGCCAGATCTGGCCCCCAGGCCTTGAGTTTGACACCTGTGGTGTACACTATAACTGTCAGACCACGATTGGCTTTAATCTTGTTTTTTTTGGGGGGGTGAAGGGTTTCATTTCTAATTTGAGCTGGAAAAGTTGGGGAAATAGTGATCTGAATTATTGTATAAATAGAATTATGCATGAAATTGATGATCATACTTGTGACAAAGGGAGCACAATGTCAGGATTTAGTACACGTCCTCAGGCACTAAATTCATTATGTAGCTATTAATTCTTGGTATGCGTGACGATCAAACGTTGCACGTTAGCAAGCCCCCCCCCCCCCCCCCCCCCCAAAACACAATTTCGAGAAAATACTATTATAAGCAGGGGCTTTTTTTTTTTTTTTTTGCAATGTGAAAGCAGTAGTCAAAAGAGGAAGATTTACTCTTACTTTCACTTTAAATTGTCACGCATTAT